AAAGGAATTAAACCATTCTTTTTCATGGATAAGGAGTATTCTATGGTAGACACATGCCATATTTTGTTAATCCTCTTATGAATTGATGGGCACTGGGTATATTTCACATCTTTGCAAATGCAGACTGTATTGCAATAAATACAGGTGTCTTTTGATAAAATTACTTCAAATTCCTTTGGGTAAATACCCAGGAGTGGGGATGCTGGATCAAATGGTAGGTAATTTTTTGAAATACCTCCATATTGTTTTCCTTAGAGATTGTACTGGTTTGAAGTCCCACCAACAGTGTAGACTTTTCTCTCTGTATCCATGCTAATATCTATAGTTTTTGGACATTTTAATGAAACCCATTCTAACTAGGGTAAGTAATATCTCATCGTGGTTTCGATTTGCATTTCCCTAATGATAAGTGATGATGAGCATATTAAAAATATGTTTGTTGGCCCTTAGTCTATCTTTTGAAAAGTTTCTCTTCCTATCTTTTATAGACCTCTTGCTAGCTTAACGAGGAATAGAAGAGATAGGATCTTAATTAACTCAATCAGAAATGGAAAAGGAGATATTACAATTGATACTACAAAAATACAAAATATCATCTGTAAATATTATGAAAATATGCACATAAACTCAAAAATGTGGAGATAATGGATAAATTCCTAGAACCACACAACTTCCCAAGACTCAATCAGGAAGAAATAGAATTTCTGAACAGATCAATATTGAGGAAGGAGATTGAAGCAGCAATAAAAAAATCTTCCAAAAACAAAAAATGCCCCAAACATATGGATTTACAGCTGAATCTTATCAGATCTACAAACAAGAGTTGGTAGCCATACTGAAGAAATTACCCCATAACATCAAGAAAGAGAGAATTCACCCTTACTCAGTCTTTGAAACTAGTATCACCTTGATAACTACAGTCAGGAAAGACACTCCAAAAAAAGAGAACTGCATCTGTATCCTTGCAAAACTCCTGGCTCGGTGCTCATAGCTCAGTGAGTAGGGCACTAGCTACATACACTGATGGCGGGTTTGAGCCCAGCCAGGGCCTGCTAAATAATAATGACAATTGCAACCAAAAAATAGCCAGGCGTTGTGGCAGGCACCTGTAATCCCAGCTACTCAGGAGGCTGAGGCAAAAGAATCGCTTAAGCCCACTGGTTGGAGATAGCTGTGAGTTGTGATGCCATGGCACTCTACCCAAGGGCGACATAATGAGATTCTGTCTCTCAAAAAAAAAAAAAAAAAAAAGGAATAGATACAAAACTCCTCAATAAAATACTATCCAACTGAATTTAAAAGCACATACAAAACCCACCATGACCAAGTGGGCTTCATGCCAGGGATACAAGTTTGGTTCAACATTTATAAATTGATAAATGTGATTCACCAGATAAACAGAAGCAAAAATAAAGATCATATGATCATCTTAATTGATCCTGAAAAAGTATTTGACAAAATTCAGCATCCTTTCATGATAAAAACCTACAACTAAGTAGGCATAGAAGGAACATAAGTGGTGCTGAGAAAACTGGATAGCCACATGTAAAAGACCAAAACAGGACCTGCGCTTCTCACCACCTACAAAAATTAATTCATGATTGATAACACTCTGAAGCCTATGACATGAAACTAAGAATTCTAGGAGAAAATGTTCAATGACATGAAACTAAGAATTCTAGAAGAAAATGTTCAAAACCTCTTATAGATATCAGCCTAGGAGAAGAATTTATGAATAAGAAGCCAGTGGCAATCATAGCAACAACAAAAATAAATGAATAGAGCTTGTTTAAATTAAAAGTTCTGTATAGGCAAGGAAATAATTAACAGAGGAAATAGATAACCTACGGAATGGGAGAAAATATTCTCAAGTTACACATATGAAAAAGGGTTAGTAACCAGAATCTACAATGAACTCAAGCAAATCAGCAAGAAAAAATTATCAAACAACTACATTAAAAGTGGTCATTTTGCTCTTTATACATTTTTTAATTTTTTCATTGATTTATGCTCTAATTTTTATTATTGCCTTTATTTCCTTTACTCTGAGTTAATTTTCTCTTTCTTAAGTTTCTTAAGGTGAAATAGGAAGTCACCATGTATTGATTTAAGACCTTTATTCTTTTCTAATATAGGTGTTTCAGCACTCCAAACTTCCTGCTAAATACTGTTTTATCACCATTCCATACATTTTTAGATATCATATTTTTATCTTTATTCAGTTCAAAGTATTTTTCACTTTTCATTTTTATTTCTTCTTTGACCTATAAATAGCTTAGGAGTTCTAATTTCAATTTCAAAATATTTAGGAGATTTTTGAGATATTCTTCTTATATCTAATTCAATCCCATTGTGATTTATATTAACATGATTCATATGAAATTAATTCTTTAGATTTGCTGAGGCTCATTTTATAACTGTTCTATCACGTGAGTAATTCTAAAGGCACAGGGATCTGCTTATTTTTATTCCCCGACGTATTGTTACTTGTCATAGTTCATTTTATCTGCCAAAAATAGCAGAAAAAGCACACAAATGAGAATTTACATAAATATCACTTATAATGAAGTCTTACAAATTGGTCGTGTCGTTATTTAACATCTAACTGTCCTATATTCCCTTAGAACTTTCTTGACATTACTAACACTAGTGATCCACTCTATATTCATCTGATCACTTTTTAATTTATTACTAGATGTTTCTATATTCATTTTTTTGTACACAATCAACAATAAATACTTCAAGATAAATGAAACACCAAACCCATCCTTAATGTGAACACTTAAGAATGAAGTTTATCTAATGAAGCTATTATGATAATGCAATTTGTTGAGAGAAAAGAAAGGTATATACATAGGAGCCTTGTGAGATAACTGAGGAGGTCAACCCATCGAACCAATTCTGAAAGTCCTCTCTTCTATTAAAGGACATTTGGCTGGACTGACTGATATCTGAAAATAACCTCAGAATGTTCAGATAATTATGTTATTGTTGATCTTGGTAAGGCAGCTCTTGACAAATTAACACTTCTATTACTCTGGGTTACTTTCCTATAGAGTTGCTCTTAATATTTGCATTAAGAACACTGAATTTACTTCAGCTTTAATTTCTTAAATATGGCAATATGGTAACCTCAAAGAGTAGTTTGTACCCACATTGGAAAAATAATATTACTGCCCAGTGTCCATCTATTGAGTATATTAATAAATACAGTCCTATATTTTGACTCTATCAATACTGACAATATCCTTCTTTAATTTTCTTTTCACATTAATATGTTTAAAAAAAAACTTTTGATTTTTCTATTTTGGGACAACCACCCACATTTCTATTCCACAAAATAATTAGTTAAATCTTCTGGATAAATGAGTCACATCAAAGCTTTCCTGCCATATGTGTTTTTCTGATTTTTTCTTAGGTGTGCTTATCCAAACCAAAAGCATTATTAACATAAACTTACATGTCAATCTCTATTCTATTATGCCCACTTTGCCACAGTCTCTCAATCTGATGATCATTTTCTTAGTAAGTAAGTAAATAAATAAATGATGAATTTATCATACACATAAACTGGCGGAGAAAAATGACATTGGATCTGTTTTCACACTAACCATATACTTAAAAATTACTGACATAGAAATCATGAGATATTGTGCACAAAGAGACTTGAACCTGCTATGTTTAAGTGGAATGCTTGATCAGTGGGCTCACTACAGAACCAGGAGCTATGTTTTTAATGTGACTCTAACCATATACAGAGTGCACCAGGACACCATGGCATTCTGCTGAGGGGAACAAAGTGAAACTGTGTCTCAAAATAATAATGATAATAATAATAATAATAATTCCTAGCATAATGTTAAAATTGGTAAAAGAGTATTTCAGAGAACTGTTCTGATAATTTCTCCAAATTTATACTACAGAAGCTATCCTGATCAACTTCAT